AAGGGAAAGGTAATTCTGGCAGGGAAGATCATGCTCACCAATCCATTGACTAATTGGCATGAGGAGCAAGAAATATAACTAGCAAACAAGGCTTTGACTACTAATTAATTAAAATGTTACATAAATTGTTATAAATGACTGAGTCCCCAAACAGGATTGCAGTTAAAGTTTACAATTTATTATGTGAATTTAAGGAAGCAAACAGCGCTGGGTGCGCGGGGAGTCTCTCTCTACCAACGCGCACCGTACAGGTTTAGGTTTCGGTTTATGAACCCCTTGTTAATACATATTCATGACTGTCCGGGGGAGAGGAGGTATCTTTGTTAGGGCATGCTCACTTTGCTTCCTTGGGTCCTCCTGAACTTGCGCAGGCTCCCGAGCACAAAATGTTCTTAACAAACAAACTCTATTACAAGTATTTTTGCCCCCGGTGCCGCCCGGACGCGGCTGGTTCGCGGCTCGTTGGCACACAGCCGCCCGCGGGGGGGAAGGCAGCGGTGCCCGGCTCTGCCCTCCTGCGTCCTGCTCAGCTTTTAATGCTTAGCTATGTGTCATAGCAGCTTCCAACTCCAAACAAACAGCGTCACAAACAATATAAGGCTTATATTAACAAAACAATATTAAGGTAGCTACTCATATAGATTCCAACACTGCTTCATATTGACACGAATCAGGGGGCCATATATCACAAAAATTGTAACCAATGAATGCTGATGCCTAATGTGTGAATAATGTAAAGTTTTGATGATGGTGAACCAGCCTTCTGTGGGTTTCCCCCTTGCTCCCCACTTTGCACAAACTCGAATAAAGAAGTAGAAATTCCTCACCTCGGAGTGAGCCATAGCACACTGACAGGTGACAAGCCCATCTCTGTGACAGCACTGGGATGTTCTCACGTTCAAACCAGACCCATGAAATATTTGCAAGTGTGACAGCTAGCAACTGTCAAATTCATGTCAAAGAATTTATTACTCATTCCTAGTATCAGTGATTGCATTCCTGTTTCCAGTTCCATTTAGTTTATTAGTATCCCAGAATCTCTGCTTTCAGTACATACAGAGCAACTTCATGGTTTATTTAAGAAAATGGAAATTATTTAAGAAAATTTAAGTATTATTAAAGAAT